CCGTGCCTGCCATCAAGATCCCTCGCTGGGCCGTGTAGGACGGCGAAAACGTTACGGGAAGTCATCCATTGACCGCCTATTTTGTGCTAGCAGGAGCGCCCGCGCTTGACTGCTGGACGTCGGCTTCGAGCTGACGAAAAGGGAAATCGGCCCAGGGCCATCGACGGCACTTTCTGATCAGGTACAGTCGCCAACTTGCTTCCGCTGTTCCCGCCGAAGCTGACCTTTGAAGACCGCAACAGGCCACGGTCAGACGTCAGGGGCTTGCAAGAGAAAAGCTTCCTTTGCGAGACGTCTTTCTGCCACCAACTATTAAGTTTAGTGCCCTCAAAATGCCCGCAGACCACGGAAGAGTCGTTAATTCATGAACAGAGCGACACGCTGCGAAGGAGGTTGCGCGCCGCGTCGGCGCGGGCGATTCGATCAAGGTTTGGACGAGAACACGGACACACCAAGAACGGCAAGGATACAGCGTGAAATCGGCCCTCAAAACTCGCCGAAATCACCATCGGCGGCAGGTCTCCGGCGGGTACCAAAAGGCTCCTTTTGGCCACAGGTAAGGAACCTTTCCTCCCAACAGGGTAGATGCGAACGCCTCAATATCCACTAGCCGGGGTGTCAACTCCGTATCAAGTCGACAACTGGGCGCTGTGAACGCATCGCCCACAGTACTTCGAGATGTGTTTTCCTTTTCTCTACGATTTACCCTGAGAACGGCGTTCAGCCTCTGCGTAAGCGTGCTCTTCGTTATCCTGCTCTGATGGTGACGTTCAGAAGGGGGCAGCGCGGGCTTCGAGAATTAGAGCCCGGAGGGCGATCATGATCGTACGTTCATTGCAAATTCACCAGATCTCGATAGGCCGTCTGGGGTATGGCCGAGAAACAACAGAGGGCGCCGTGGCCAGACGTTGGTCCCGGAGCCTATTCTGAGTCGAATTCGGCTAACGCCTTGCGCAACTGCTCTTCCTATTTAACTCCCGCAGATGCGCGTCTGAATCATTCTCCAACCCGCTCCTTACTCGCCGGTCTTCTCAGCTCTCTCTTGGACAGCTCGTATACAGCAATGCCCTATCTACTCTCAGGATGGAAGCCTTCTCCGGGCGAGGCATACTGCTTCGTCGATCATCCCGCCCCCGCGATGTCTCAAACTTCGATCGCGTCGTCCTCGGTCCATGTTAAGCCGCCGGTACGAAGCCTCGATTCTTCAAGTCGGCTCCAACTAACCAATACCCGCACAGGCTGCGTTGCCTCGCCGCGGGGAGCCGGGGCACGTCAAGCGCCCGCGCAATGGATTCATCATTTTCCGCTGCGAGTTCGTCGCCAAGAATCGCGGCAAGGCGCCCAGGTCGAAGTCTGGCGGTCCTTCTAAGAGGCTGTCGCAACTGGCTGGCGAGACCTGGAAGAAGCTGCCGGCCGCGCAGCGCGATGTATACATGACGCTTGCTGCCTTGGAGAAGGACGAACACTCTCGCCAGCATCCTGACTACGTCTATCGCCCCAACAAGCAACGCAGCGGCCGTCAGTCTACTACCCCGAAGCGCGCTTACCGCCCGGCTTCCACCGTCCTCCGGCGCCAGGCTCCTGCGCCCACACCTGTGCCCGTCGAGATGCCAGCTATCGGTGCCTTGTCACTCGCTGGACCATCTTCTGAGTTCGTTCCCGCTCCGTCGCCGTCATACTCTTCGGTGGACTCTGCGTACAGCCCCTCATCTTCACGCTCGACTCCCTTCCTATACGATGCGCAAAGCCCCGCTACGGATTCGGACTACCCACAGACGCCCAACAGCGAGTACGCTATGCAGATCTACGACGCGCCCCCCGGGGATGTTATGAACGCATACACATATTCTTATCAGTCCGCCATGGTCACCTTGGTAAGCCTTTGTATTCGTGGGGCTGCGTCCGGTCGCTGACGACCGTGCTTTCATCAGCCCATGGATCACCACTACACAGAGAATAGTGGACTGTACGTCGCTTCTCCTTCTCCTTCGCCGTCATATACGTACGGGCCGCCGGACGAGCCCCCGGTGGGCACTGCATCGAGCTATTCCACCTTGGCCAACTGGGCGGGTGAGCTGGACGCTGCCTCAACGACGTCGACATCGTCTTCGGCTACGTATGCCGCTCCTGCCGTGACAATGGCGCCTCCTGCCGAGGTCAGCGGCTACCCGCACTCCTCCTTCGGTTCCGAGGTCGTCGACTTCGACGCCTACGTTTACTCCGAGCCCGTGACGTTCGTGCCTCATGTATAAGTGTCCGCCGTCTGCCACGCCTATTAATCATCGTATCCTTACCATGCCTCCTCTTTACCCTGGAAGTTTGCCACATCTGTCCTGTCACTGTACCAATAGCCTACTCTTTCGTATATATTTATCGTTCTCTGTACTTGGTTGTGTCTGTACCGCGCTCCAGTTGCCTCTGCCAACTGCGAGTTAATACATTCTTATTGTTCTTCTTCACCATTGCCTTTGCTAGCATCTCCGCTGTCGATCTCGACGTCAACAAATCCCCACAATCGGCCGGTAACTAAAGCAGTGGATGCAAAGAACACGATCGAGCATCGGGACGGGATGATGAAAGTGATCGAGCGTTCCGTCGCCGACCGCCCTGGCATAATTGTGAGTGCGATAACTTGCTCTCACTCTACCTTGCCGTGCGCGTGTAAAGCCGGACGATCATGCTGAGAACGCTCACAGAAGGTGAGCTGCCTTCAGAGTATCGTCCTACTACAGCTCGCGCCTGCTCCGAAAACTAGCGCCCAGCCACAGATCCGCGACAGGGGCGGCGCGCGGCGGTCCGCCAGGCCGTCAGGTATGAAGCATCCGGCAACCCTGAAGCATGCAGAGTGAGAGATAGAATAAGGCCGGGAGCAGATAGCGAAGCGCAACACGCGATGCTACCGAGTTGATTTCGCGCACCGTAGTCATGGAGGAACTCAGTGTCCGACGAGCGAGGAAGAACAAGGGTCTGGGAAAAGCTTGACGTATGTAGCACAAGGACCTGGCTGTGCATTGCATGCCACATTGGTGGCCCAGTCGAGAGGTAGCATTCTAGAAAGGGATATAGAGATTGAAGTGAGACATTGGAATTCGTCACAGTTGGTCGTAGCCGAGGTTGTTGCAAACGATGCCCGAGGCACGCAGATACCGAGACTGAAGCATTTGTGGCGTCAGTACTCTAACCATATCCGACGATGGCGCTCGCGTCTCTGTCGCTAGCTGCATGTCGAATGGCGACGCAAACAATAGTCAAACTCCACCCAATCGCGAGCGCAACGCAGGATTAACGTTGCGCTAGCTCCTAGCGTACAGGCGCCGCTTCTTGAAACGCGACCGTTGGCAGGTGCAAGAAAAGTGGCAGCGCGGTACGCAGTATGAGCGGAGTTGGACATTGGCGGAGTTGAACGAGGTCCCTCGGCCGGCTTGGACTAACGATACGCCCCGCACGATGCGCCCTGTAGAACTCGGTTGGTGACCTCGGCGTACTTTCCGTTCACGCTAAGTAGTCCAGTGGTCCATAGACCATCACGGTCAGGAGACCACAGAGAGGGAGCAACATAGCGGGGTTATGGCAGTATGTAACAAAGCCACGGGAGGAAGATGGCGCCTACGCGCGCCCACATAGGATAGTGTTTACTGGGCCACAGATGTTCTTTTCGAAGTAGGTGGGTACGTTGCTCGATCGTTGACTGCAAAGCGTCGATCTCTCGGCAAGTCAGAATGCCGCGGCATGGACGTCCTTGAACACCGGCGTCCACGGCGTCGCATGGGCGCACCCCGCGCGATCAGCTCGGGTTCCGAAAAGTCTGAATGCGGAGCCGCGCTCGGCGTCAATACGTGCACCCTGGCCCTGGCCAAAATATGGCCCGACAAGGCTCGACGACAATCATTAGGCCTTACTTAGGCGCTAGGTAGACAGATGCATCTACAGACGGATCTCCGCTGCATCTCGTCGCAGGACAAAAGGACAGTTCCAACCTACGTAGCTAATTTGTGCCTCGGGGATGTGTCCCAGAGGCCTGCGGAGGTCCAGCTATATGACCGAAAATGCCCGAGGCGCAGTAAAGTCAAAGATGGTGAACCTGCAAAATTCAGACAGGCCCAAATGGCGATGGCGGCGATATTGACCAATAGCGCACCGAGGTACTTACCAGTAGTCTTCCTGTACAGCGCACTAAATGCGTAGACCAAGGTGCCCACATGTACAGGTCGCATGGCTTCGAAGTAGCTCAGGGTTCACTGCAGTACGATATGTTCAGAAACAACTCTTTGCTTGCGATTGCGTCGCGCCAAGTCTATGATAACCGACAAACAAGTCTAATCGCGCTTGAGCGCAGGACGCCTAAACAAGGAAAAGAGGAGACCCAACACCCGAGAGAAAAAACAATGACAAGCTCGTTGCAGACCAAAGAAAATGGTAGGTAGGAAGACTTGATGGATGAAGAGGAGTCGGACGAGCGTGGATGATGTGATTGGTAGGAAAAAGACGAGGAGCGGGCTAATGGGATTATTGTCTAGTGTGTGCGGAGATGGGGGCATAGAGTATCGTGACGCAGGCGGGATGCAAGAAGATGGCTGATGGGATGGATAGGTAGATGGCGCGCAAGGGGAATTGAAGTATATCATGCAAGTGGATGGAAGTGGGTGGAAAGACGGCCACACTGGCGGAAAGAATGGGGTAAAGACGAGCGAATAGAGGGAATAGAGAAATCTATTACACAAGGGAGAGGAGAAAGAGTGTCCATGACAGTCCACCGCCTACGCGGGGCGTCAACGGGTAAATGATATCATAAATATATCCGAAAGGGCGCGGAGGCCAGTGGGCGTGGTGGTGTAATCGTACAAACGACGTCATAACAGTTCGTGAACCGCTCGTGCTGGAGGGAAGAGAGACGAGAGACGGTGAATCCAGATATGCCAGATTGCGTGTATGGGGGCGTTTTGGCGCAGGAGCGGTCGACATGGATGAGAGATACGAGACGGGAGCTCAGGCTGCGGCAACAGGAGTAGCTGCACCACTCGTCGTTGGCGAGTAATGCGGCGATGTACGGGGGTACGCGTTCTCAAGACGTGACGAAGCACCCGTGAAGAGATCCTCAACGCTGGAGGAAGAAGAGTCCCGTGGGATTTGGGACGCGTCACCCGTAAAGAAGCAGAACCTACGAACATCTGGTAAGTAGGATGATCACCGAGCTTTGTTCCATACAACGTACTTGTTCAACAACACAGCGTAGTCGCCAAGATGGTTCATGGGTGACTCAGACCGACGCTCTTCCTCTGGCTTGCCCATGAACGACGAGCGAGGCGTCAACTCCGTGGGGCTGACCAACGACGAAGCCGGTTCCGAGATACTCTCCGAGGTGCTCAACTCCGACAACTGGCTGTCCTCGCTAGACGTACGTTCGAGCTGCGGCATGCGCCACCCGGGGCTGAGCAGCGGCGTCTGAGCGCGGCCGCGGAGCGTGGGCGTCGGGCTGACCGACTTCGCACGCGGCGGAGCGCCCAACGTGAAGCGCGCGTAACCGGCCCGAGGTGTAGCGGGAGTGTCAATGTTGTCGGCATCGAGGTCCTCAACCCCGTCATGGCTCTCGTCATCCGTACTGCTCTGCGAGGGCGTCTCCGGCAGATCCGTCGAGCTCGTTTCAGGGCTCGGGCTCGGGCTCATGCTGAGGCGCGGCGGCAGGAGCTGCGGCTCGCTGAGCGGCGTGGCCGGGGGCGTCAAGCGGGCACTCGACTTCGTAAGGTCGAAGTATCCGCCACCGCGCGAGTGCATGCGTGGAGCCGAGCGCCGTGCGAACGGCTGCGTGTTTACCTCGTCCTCTTCGTCGTCAGTGACACGAACCGAGGGGTAGTCGGGTGCATCACGCGGCGAGCCATACCCCGCCGCCGGCCGGCAAGGTGGAGGCGACAAGGGCATCTCCATGCGCGGCTTGGACACCGACTGCGTTGGAGGGGGCGATTCGCGACGAGGCCACTGAACGGTACCCGAAACGCCCGGGAAGGTGTTCGTACGCGTATGAGCAGGCTTGGATGGCGAGGGCGACCTCGCCTCACGAAGTGCATCCGTGAAGCTATAGCGCGAGCCGAGGGGCGAACCATTGCGGAAGCGAAGCGGCGGGAGCGACTCGTGGTCCTCACGAGGCGTGCCCACGGGAGAGGGCGAGAGTGAGAATGAGCCCTGCCAGCGTTGCCTCGAGTGTTGCGCGAGGAGCGAGCCAACGGTCTCCTTGTTGCGCGGACGTTCATCCTCAGATCCGTCTTGCTGTTTCCGCACCACGGCCTCGAGCCTTGAGCGGAGATCCTCAACCTGGCGCTCAGCCACGGACTTGGGTTGCGGCGAGAGTGTCTTGGGGGCCTTTGGCAATGCGGCAGGCTCGTGGTAGAACCGCAAGCGGTAGTTCTGTCCGCCAAGGCTGTCCCAAATCTCGCGCCCGAGTACCGTATACCGGATGGCAAACATGAGCGAACGCTCACGCCCAGGGAGGAGGTCGTGCAACTTGATCACGAATGCGAAGCGGTCGAAGTCAGGCTTCCCCGGTACACCAGAGAGGTAGCGCGCCGTGACCTCAGACGTGGTCTGCCAGTCGTCGAGCGTGAAACGTATCGCCACCCACTTCTCGAAGGCCAAGTTCTTGACGCGAACGACACCGTTGATGGCCTGGATATCCGCTGCGAGGGTGACTGACTCCAGGATCACATCCGCCGACGAGCCTTCTGCTGGAGCTTCTGGGAAGTTCAAGCGTTGCATGGCGAGCTTGCCTTTATCCCGGCCGTATATGAATGCAGGGAATTCGTCCGCGCTTGTGGTATCAAAGTCATCGGTAGGACTGCCATCGCGAGAAACCGCGAGCGGTTTTTGTTCCGCCAAAAAGAGTTTGACATGCTCGAGCTTCGCGTCGAAATGGACGGCCTTGTACGGAGTAGCTGGTGCGCTTTTGCTTCCGCCAGTCGATGGCTCCCCAGGCGTCGTTACGACCGTGAGCGGTAGTTGAGGACGCACAGACGACTTGAGCGAGGACTTCAACGGCTTGCCATTGCGGAGCTTGAGAGGAAGTACGGGTGTACTGGTAGAAGCCGGCATAGTCACAGAGCGGGAGCCGCGAACCTGACCTTCGATAGAGAATTGTGCCGCATCTGCCGAGACCGGCCGAGGCCGAGGGGTCATCATAAGCTCTCTTGGGATGGGATGGCGATGGCGTGGGCGAGGCGTAGGCTCGTCTGTGCTGGGCGCTTGGTGTAGGATGTCCTCGGGCGCCACCGGTATGGGAGTGGAACGTTCTGGAGGAAGAACAAAGAACGAGCGCGGGATTTGGCCGCCGCGCGAGCGCGTATGCCTTGATACGCGAGCCGTGGGTGTCGCCGAGTCAAACGAAGCGCGGCGAGTGTCGCTGAGGGATGGTGGCGAGGGCGAAGGTGTCGGAGCTTGCACCATGATACCTGCGGGCATGCTCGGTGTTGCCGGAGGCGACGAAACTGCGACTGCGCGGTCAGGGGAGGAGCTCCGACTGGTTGGCCGTGACTGCCCGGGCGAGTTCTGGTATCGTCTCGGGATTAGCGGTAGAGGTGCAGACGAGCCATTCCCAAAGCGAGAGTAGGATGAGCTGCGAGACGTAGAGGATTGCAAGGCGGCGGCCATTGGGGTGGTGGTGGCAGGATTCAAGAAGCGAGTGGTGGCTATCGGGTGGCTGGAGATAGCATAATAGTCAGTTTCGAACTCGAACCACATACAGCACCGGTTTCTGCGCCAACTTACGTGCAAGGCCGATCTTCCTCGGGCGCCTAACAGCGGAAGAAGAGCTTGGGAAGCGATAAGGCCAGCGTCGCGCTATGGATGGCAAATCTTGCTTACACGGTTCCTCGAATGATATGTCGGAAGCGGCGAACCGATCCCCAATCAAAGTCCGAGGGTGGGAAAATTCAAGCTCTGGTGAACAAATATATATGTGAGTTGAGGGCGCCCGAACAATGCCAACATCAGGTACGCACATGCGTGCAAGCGATACTCGGCTACCGGGTCGAGAATCCAAGAGGAAGCCGTAAGAGTTTACGGGAATAAAGCAGTCAGAAAGCGCTGTGGGATAAAAGGGGTGAGTTGTGTTAACGCCGCTGACTGTGCCGGGATCGACGCACAGCTAGCTGAGTGACTGGTTCGGGTAAGCCCTAGGTTGGGAGCGACAACACCGACTGTTATAGACAAACGTAAGGACGCGAGCGCTCCGCTGATAAGAGCCTTGGCCACGAACCAAGCTATGTGGTCCGATTGAGCTATGGGCTACCCTAAATTCAAGATATGTAAGTTGGCGCTTTGATAACGGCGGACCGGAAGCGGCTTGGACATACAGCGGTTGCAGGGAGCAACGTGGGTGGACGAGTAGATTGAAGCGGGGGTGATAGGATGACCTGGCGGGTTGACCCAGGTGTGTACAGCACAGTCGAAGAGGAGTATTGTCCTGTCTACTAAGACCTAGATTATTCCGGCAAGAAATGTGCCAGGAATGTCAAGCTGTAGTTTCCGCGTCGTCTAGCTCGTGCGCGAGCTGGTCGCCACTGTCCGGCGTAGGTGAAGGCAGGAGCAGAGTCGCGTCCGGCGGCCCTCGAAATTGTTCGAGAGACCTTCAACATTCTCGGCCAGGCACGTCCTGTGCATTGATCCACCTTTGTCTCCCTATCTGCAATTGACTTGCTTCCGGAACTAAACACGGCGCCTAAAGAACCTTCCATACTCTTGGGGCAACCTGCATGGGACGCCAGTCCATTCCTACAGTCCTTTCGTTTGAGCTTTGAACGGCGTCGATGGCGGCCTTTGCGAGCAAAATGGAGAGATGAGAAAGAGGTCTAGGCTAGCGACGGAGACGTCATCGTATCAAAGTACCCCTGAAAACCCGAAGAAAGGTTCGAGACGCGGAACCCCGCTTTCTCAACCCCGCTAAAGTCTCGCGTCGTCTGCGGACCGGTAACCGAACCCCGCTTTTATCTCGCGAGGCGATATGTTTGTAAAGATTGTTGTGGTCGTATACGGCACCAGAGGATACACAAAAATAATCAGGGATACAGTACGGATACAG